GCGCGCGGGGGACGTCACGGCGCCTCAGTGCGCAGGCGCAGTTCCCTGTGGTGATCACGTGGGCAGAGCAGTGCGGTGGCGCCCGCGCATGCGCAGAGGGGGCACGCAGCACCTGTCTGAGCCCGCGGGCCCCGCTGCCTGCGCTGGGGCGTTTAATGCTTTTATTTAGAAAAAAACCCCCAAACCGCAGATGTCTGCAGCACAGCTCCTTCCCGGCGCAGCCAGGGGTGGGTAAGACGCCCAGCAGCGCCACACCCCCTTTGAGAGCCCCTCGGATTTGACCCCCGTGGCGATGGCCCCACGCTCTGTGCAACAGCCGCGACCCTCTCTCTGTCTGCAAACCTCCCTCTCTTGAAGGAACACAAAAGAATGGGGTTGAGCATCCCGTGCAGCTTGCACCCTAGTGGGAATGACCACAAGCTGTGTTTTTGTCACACCGGATGCTTTTACGTTACAGCACATGGAGGAAAAGGTCAGCATGGGCCAACCTTCACATCAGCCCAGCATAGAAAAGATTAAATATAATGTTTCCACAGGATGAAGTCACAGAGGAGAAAGTTCCCCTGGTGCGAGGGAAAACCTTATCTCCCATAGCAGGGATCCCCAGAGGGGACAGGTGCCGCTGTGCTTAGGGCTGCTCCAGCTGAGCCTCGCCAGCGTTACATGACCAAAAACACGGCATGGAAATCCAACAACCAGCCACACACACAGAAACACAGAGTTGGCTCAGCATCTCCCCTCCTATCCATCAGGGCCGAGGCAGTGGAGGAGCTCTGGGGTTTTATGGCAAAAGATCCCTCTCCCAGGAGATCTCTGGCTTGTGCTGTTCCTGTAAGGCTTCTCTGCGCTGCTCCCACCGCAGAGCACGCACGGTACACGTGAAGGGGGACGCAGCCTCCCCAACTGCTCCTGTGCCAACGTGTGCCACCGCTCCAGGGAGGCCTCTACACAGGGAACTTAAATCTAACCTCGATAAATAAAACCAAATGTTTATTTACACCAAAGAATTCCAACACTGGATCTTTCACATATGAAGGACAAAGTATATATACACAGCAAGGGGTAGCAGGGCTGTAACAAGGGTGCTTTTCCGTTGTCAATGATAATATTTGTCCACAATTACTGATCTACCATTTCAGTTTAAGTTAACATCTGCTCGCTCCTTCCTCTCAGTGCATATTTACAAGACTGTGAGGTAACTGGTATTCTCACCACATGGCACGTGAGGGAGGGGATGGTGGGTGAAGATGTGATATCGGACTTGGCGCAGTCTGATTTTTCCAGCTTTAAGTAGCCACCAGCTTGAAACCTATAGAAACAATTTAAAAACAATATACCCAATGACAAACTAATTCCAGAGATCCCAGCCAAGCAAGGGCAGGAAGAGCCCTCCAGGAGAAAGGGGCTGACAAGAGCATGCTTCACTCTACAGGACCACCTTTCTCAGGAGGTGGCAAGGACTCCAATCGGATCAGTAACTTCATCTTTTAAGACTAAAATTACATGCAAGGGGGTGATTGGCCTTCTGCTTGGCTCCGAAGGAGACATGATTCAATCTAATTAGGGTTTCAGACATCACCTGCATTTACTCCTTTTAAATTTATACCACCTCTCCATACTGGAACTGTCTCCTCAGTGTACCCCGGCTGAGCCATGTGCAGGACATGGGGTTACAGCGAGCGGTACTCTAACGATCCCCCTCCCCTGCCTCACGAGGACTTGGTTTGGTAGTCTCTGGAGAACAGCACAATCCCCCCGGGTGTAGGCTCGTGGAGGAGTAATGGTGGGAACATGAAGACAAGATATTTCCAGCAGGATGCAATAGCTTGGAAATGCTGTTGATTCATCTTTGTTCTTAAATGAAGAGTACTTTTTTTTTGGGAAAAAAACCAAAAACAACTGTCCGAGAAATATTCCATCTGTAGGTATTTTCAGGGAATCCCCTGAGTTACGAAAAGTTCAAGTAAAAAAAGAAAAATCAGCCTATAATAATTTTGTATATAATGACTGAACTACTATAAATCCACAAGCAACAGTTCAGACACGGTGCCTCCAAAGCGTTCATCCCCTCCCTTCCCCCGCCAGGCACGAGCTGCCTCTTGAGGAGAGGTGGAGGGGGAAGCCTCTTCCCCACCTGACTCAGCTCAGGCAGCAGGAGACAGAGCCCAGAACTACTGCTGAGCGCCTGCAGCAGCTGGAACGGGCATCCCCAGAGTGGTGGTGGCAGAAATGACGGGCGAGCCTGCTAGAGGTCCAAGGGGTGAAGGTGTTGGCACTGAAGAAATCCCTGGAAGAGAGACAGGTAAGCAGGAATTAGAGTGAAACCATCGCTAGCCAGGACCACTCAGCTTCTGAAATGAAGCGGTTATCTTTGCAGGTCGGTTTGCTGCCGCATTGTTACATTTTCAGAGCTGCCAAAATAAACTGAGATTAAAAATCTGCTACTGTCCTCTGCAGCCCCTGAAAAGAGCTCAGATTTGTACACAGACACGTGTCACTGGCGGGCAGATGTATGGCAGGATCACTGTCCTTCAAACTGCTGCCAAAAAAATCCAACTGCAAAGCACTTTTTAAAACGGGACCAGAAAAGCAGGTCGGGCAGCAGTGAAGCCTTATTTATCATGCTGTCCCACCCACCTCTTTGTAGCCCTCCCTGTCCTTGTCATTGGTCCCAGGAGATGACCTAACGCCTCACCTGCAGAACTCACCCTCCTGGATCCTCACAGGACATATAAACTTTTTAAAACACCCCGCAACAAGAAGAGTCAACAGCAGGACTGACCTGACATCATACTCGCACTGCTGACAGGAGTGCTGCCACCCGGCATGTTGGACGAGCCCATCCGAGCTTGGTCTTTCACGATGGGATCTAGGAAGAGCACACTACCCTCAGGCGCCAAGTTGCCAGACAGCAGCTGAAGCACACAGATTGCCTGTGACCCCTGTGCTCAGCCAGCCCTGGCAACCTGCCTACGTCAAATAACGTCAACCATCATCTACCGCAACACAGAAGTTTCCACCAACTCCAGCAGGAAGCACCCAAGAAGGTACCAAGGTAATGTGATCAGTGAAATCTACTTAAATGATGCGTTTTGGAGTTCAGCAAACAGTAAAAGCTGAAGGAAATGAGGGTGATGTCCTTTCTGTGCTAAGCAACTGAATAATTGCATAAAGCCAAACCCAGAAAATTTTTCGAGCAGAATTATCACAATCATGTCACGTCTCTAGACACATCCCACAGCAGCCTCCAAGTTGTAATGGGTGGCACTGGAGCTCCTCGTCTTCTGCAAGATGTCCCCAGGTTACTCACTCTTTGTTTTCAGCTGTGGGTAAATAACACTGCCATCTGACCAGAGACATCCCCTTCCTGCCTCCCACACCTACTGCATCACACGAGGGAATTTCAAATTCTGCCCTTCCTCATGCCGAGTTCAGTACAACCTCTCTCTCTACGTGGACACAAGTTAATTTAGCTGTTTGTCCAACTCTCACATTCCAAGCTCTCAGCTTTACTAATGCTCTTACTTGCAAAACATTTCACTGGAACTTTTGCCACAGGTAGAACACAGTTCTATACTGTGTGTTAATTATGTAAGTCTGTTCAGCAGCAAGAAAAAAAAAAGAATATGACTGAGCAAATACTCATATTGTGCATTGTTACAGCTGTTTCAAATACCTAAATATCAAGATTTGTGAAAAACAGCAAGCATTTAAAAACATTTACTAGTGGAAGCTACATTTTTGCTTGCAAAACCAGACCTGAAGATACCATTCACTAAGGTGCATATTTAGCAACAGAAGGAGTTAAAAGTGCCCGTTTCTCAACAAACCTGCGTTATCTGGTTTTATCAAAACACAGGAATCCATGTACCCAGACACCTGCTGAAATTGGCATGGGTGTAGCACCAGAGCTGCTTTAACATGGTGCTGCAGATTCACTGCCCTGACAGGGGCACACAGCACCTGGTTTCCTTGGCCGGTGCAGGTGGCAGTGCCCTACTTCATTCACCGCACAGACCAGCAGCCTCAGCTCCACTGCAGTTATTTGCAAAGACCAGGCTTATTGCGTTGCTGTTCTTAGCTCCTATCTGCACAGCCTACTGGAACGGAGATTTCCCAGAGGCAGAGGAAGAACTCTGGACAGCAGCTGATGCCAGCAGCTGATACTTACAGAAGTAGGGGTGTTCCATGGCTTCTCTTGCTGTGAGTCGTGACTGGTGATCATATCGCAACAGCTTGTCTAAGAAATCCAGAGCTTCTGGACTCACCAGATGCTGGTTCTCACTGTGAACAAAGCGCTCCCATCGCTTACGGGAGTGTCTGTAGAAAAAAACCATACCCACATCAGGCTGGGCAGAGGACATCAACGCCAAACTTCAGTGTTTTAAAGAGCAAAGGCTGTGACAGATGTCTGTCTCCGAGGGGGCCGCTGCGGGTGCGGCAGCAACAGGGCTGAGCCACGGAGCAGCAGTACACCGTGTCTCCACGCGGCGGCACAGCCGCCACAGCCCTGGACAGCATGAGGACTCACACTCAGAATGGATTTACAGCCCTAAAATCCCAGCCTCTGCTTTCTTCTTATGCCCCCAACAACAGTTCCTGGTAGTTTTGGTATGTGTCACACAAAATAGCTGAGAGAAAAAATATGTAAATGCTATCTAAAGCAGCAACTGATTTTCTGCACTGTAGTTCTGAGAAACACTCTTCTGTTTTTTCTTCTTTTTTTCCCCAGAGTACTGGAGAGAGAGCATTTGGCCTTCATGCTTTATGCTCTAGCAGTTCATTTATTGCCTAGATGACATTTAAAAACCTTTCTTCAAGTCCATTTGCAGATAAAGGACCATGGGAAGCACTGGCCAAAGGGATCAAAGGCCAAAGCAACAGTTCTCAAGAATCTTGGCTCTGATTTCTCCCATAAGCGTAAGTTTTTGTTTACTTCAAGGTCTGTTGACAAAGCAGTAGCTGTCTGGGTCTGACAAGAGCTCACGAGCTACCCTGGCCCTTGGCTCACCTGCCCAAGATGTCATTGAAACGCGGATCCAGTTCAATGTTGTATTTGTCAATGTAGTCATACAGGTCTTCTGTTCCCAGCACCTTGGCTATCCTCACCAGCTGGGAACAAACAGAACAATAAATCACTGCGGCGAGGGCATGACAATGCCCGAGCCCACGTGGAGATACAGCAGCACACCCCCTTGGGAGCCTGAACCTGGTCTCAGTGGGCTGAACCAGCAGCCACAGGGTCACCTCGTGGCTCCAGCTTCCCCAACCACACACGACCACAGGCACCATCAGCACAGTCGGTACTTAACCCACGGCAGCCAGGAGGGAGCTGCACATCCCAACATCACTAAAACTGGAGATCTTGTAAGACTAACTCCCTTTGTAGCAAGAAAATAATCAAAACAGGGTGGTAAGGCAAGAATATGGGGTCAAAAAAGCAGAAACTCTGTAACTTGCACATGAAGGGTGAAGTGCCAACCCGGAGGGCTCTGAAATGAAGGTCTGAGAACAGAAGGTCACTGTTCTTCAACGTCTGCATGTTAGTCAGATGCAGAGCACATGTTAAAGGTTTGAGTACAAACATTTTGGTGTAAAGGCAACATATCAAATTTTTCAGAATCTACATAAAACCGTGCCAAATTCAGAGTTTCAATACAGAGGGGAGGGAGGGTGGGTAGTGGTGGGGGCTTTCCACATAACGTAACCTCAGGAACAGTTGATGTATGTACCAGAACACACCACCCTTAATATAACTATTATAACTTTTTCCCAGATACCTGCTGAGGAGCTCGTAAGTACAAAGCACTGTAAATCTATTTCTATTTAATTGGCTAGATAATCTTGCACATTTGAGAAAGGAACATGGCTTTAAACAGAGCAAAGAAGCCATCAGAAATGTTTAAATTCTTTGGATCCCTTGGCAGAAGTGTAAGCAGGAAACCTTCACTGTTCCAAGGGAACAGAGTCTGTACATGACCAGCTCTCACCTGATCATAGTTGTCATGCCCATGGAAAAATGGCTCCTTCCGGAATATCATACTAGCCAACATGCAACCCAAGCTCCACATATCCAGACTGTAATCGTACATCTGCATAAAACCAGAAAGATAAATCAATTTCTAACGAACTAAGCAGAAGAGACTCCCAATATTAACAGGCTCCCGCTCCCTGCGGTGATACAAACGTGGCCACGTTGTGCTGGGAACAGACTGAAATATCTTCATCACTAGATCACTGGTCAGTTACTCCAACTGGGATACAGCGATTAGCAGAACAGTAGGTATCCTATTTCCACCCTTTTCCATTAAGATATTAAAGACCAGTGCCTTTTTTCTGTTTCACTGTGGACTTCAATGTTATGAATCATGGAGAAACATGTCTTGAGAAGGGGAGCATCACATGCAGCAAAAGGAGAGGACTCCATAAGCTGCACAGGCAGGTGAGAAGTGTCTTCACACAGAACTGGCACGATCTGAAAGTCACCAGTAACACTGTGATTCCCAGCCCACAGCATTTCTATAATGCAAATTGCCATCAAACATGGGGATGTTTTTATAGCTTAATTTAGAAGTTCATGCAGTACTAGCTATTCCCACAAGGGCTTTGTTTCATTCCTGTACCTTACTGCAAAAGCAGCCTTGCTAAAAAAATATTCAACAGTATTCCAACATCCATGATTAGAGTTCTGCAGCTCTTCCTCATGTCCTGACACTGCTCATTAGTTTCTTTAATGCAATGGCTCTATAGCCACTGCCTTCTGGATGGACATTTTAGAATGGACTATCTTCAGCTTCAGGTCTCGAGGTATCTGAATTTCTGGTTTGCCACATTGAAATGGCACAGAATTTCCATATACAAGTCAGTGATAAATCCTGGTAATTCTTACCTGATAATCTACAAGGAGTTCAGGTCCTTTGAAATATCTGGAAGCCACTCTGACATTGTACTCCTGGCCGGGGTGATAGAATTCAGCCAAACCCCAGTCTATTAGTCTAAGCTAGAAACAGTAGGAAACAAAGAAAAAAGGCTCAAGGGATGCTCCAGTTCTGCACTGGCTGAACCACACTACAGGTGAGTTTAGTTTGAAGCTTCGTTGAGAAGGCTTCTGTTTTCAGTTAATTTGAAGCTGCTCAGAGTATCTGTTTAGATGTTCTCCCCACACCCATGGTCACCAACCGGTCTAAACAAAACACCTCTCCTTACCAACCCTATTTTCCATAAAAACTCAAGAAAATCAGCATACAGATTTCATTTCACATTTCTCCACACGACTGAAGTGCAGCCCCCCCGAAGATGTCTGGTAGCAGCACTACACAGGAGTACCCATAAGGATTTGGGTTTGCTAAGAGAAAAGCAGGCCCCCCCTGCCCCCCAACC